AACCCCGGCGCTTGGCCCCCGTCCCCTCCGGGGCGGCCGGCATCCCGCGATGGGACCGTCACCTGGCGCCGCGGCTGACCCGGCAGCGGGCTTGGCGAGGCTGTTTTGGGGGGGGTCTCGCCGCTTTTTCCCGGTGGTCCGCAGCAGCCCAGTACGAGGAAGAGGGCAGGAACGTCACCTGCAATAAAAGCTGGGCTGTGAGCTCAGGCGGCGGTGCTTGCAAATAAAATTATGCGCCTAAACACTTGAGTTTTTGTAACAGTTTGGGGCTCGCTTTTTAAACTCAAGTACTCTTCGTAAACATGGCGGAGGGCTCGGTTGCTTTCTGCCGTTTCGTGGCCACACCAAGTTTTATCTGACCTTCTGAAATCTGTAGCTGAGTCGCCTTTATCAGGCCATTTTTGAAACTTTGAGTAGGCTAAGTATTTGCTTTGGGGAGTTACAACTTCTCATGAGCCGGCCTGCTGATAAGAATTTTAGATGGCCTTGTTTAAGCTAAGGGGGGGTTGCCACAATTAAATTCATACCTGTGCCATCCCCTCTCTGTGACGTCCCGCTGCTCAGCCAAGCACAAACGTGCTCCCCCACAACCTAAAACTAACTTGGAGGGCAAAACACCTCATCCTGAAGTCGCTCACAGTTATACTTCTTGCGTGTGTAGACATGGCTGATAATGCAAGTGATGATAATGTATCTATTTTTAGCCTCTGCCGTTCCTTTGAGATGTTTTTGCCCCGGTGCTTTTTTTTTTTTTCCCTAAAAAACAATTAAATAGTAGTACATTATTTCCAACAACAAAGTCTTCCCTGTGACACAACCCAAGGAATTCCTGGAAGCTGTATCCCAATTTGGAGGGCCAGAAAGCTCTGACGAAGGTGGAGCATGGCCTTTACGAACACGGCACTGCCACTGATTTTATTTCTGTGTTCAAAATAGGGAGCGATAGTGAAATTCGTACCGCCATCTTCCGAAACGCAGCCTGCTTTAGGTACGGCCGCATGCTGGCACGACCTCACAAAAGATAAAGGCAGGGCTTTACGTTTGAGGTTTACTTTGCGCTGCGTGCAAGCGCCGCAGCCTGACCTGACTTCCTGTACGTAGCCCTTCTCCCTTCCACAGCCCCACGCTTCGGACGGCTTTATTCATTATTGAACACAAGTGGGTTTGGAGCCACCAAAGCGCTCGCCTATGGCTTTCTTCCCCCCCCCCGCCCCCAGAACCCCCCCGGAGGGTGGTGGGAGTTTATTTACAGCTTGATTTTGTAATTTTGCTCCAGAGTGGATCGGCAGCGCACACTTCTGACATCTTGCCTGCTCCACGCTCTGGAATAACGATAGGCATCGCCGTACGCACGACCCGCGGTATCGTGTCGATTCATCCAAATAGAACTTATGTTTGAGGGTTAACTCGGGCGTTAAATCTCCTTGCCCGCTGTCTTCAAAGAAGATTGAGGATGACAAAAGCCCCGTCACAGTTTGACTGTTCGGTTTAACTGAACGGTGGGAATTTTGCAGTGCTTTGCTGTCTGCTAAACAAATCCTGCTAAACACTTTCACTTTTGTTCTTTTCTTACTATTAAAAGTGAGGGCGGTCTACTCGGAGTGCTAAAGTACAGCAGAACTTAATTTATTCCGTTTTATCTTTTCTTCCTGCAGGGGCTCTTTCTAATTTAGTTTGTGTATTTAATTGAAGGATAAAGTACAATGTAAATGGCTGATGGGTATTGCCACGTTCCTGAGCTAAGTTTAGGTTTCTTCTGTCCTTGGAAGCCGAGATCCTAACGTGTCAGCAGCACTGGAACAAGAATACCCATCATCAGACTGTTAGAAAAACTTAGTTTGGCAGCAGCACGAAAAACACAAAACTTTGCAGATTCATTTTAGTCGCTGCTGAGTTTCCCACCAGGTCTATATGGTAAACTTCTGCTGGCACAGCTCTGTCTGCGAGCGCTGTGACGAAGTGTGACCCGTGACTGACATAGCTGTGCCAGCAGAAGTCCCAGCTGTAGAAGCAGTTATCTGCCAAAGCGCACTTTCACTGATATAGCTTGTTTTCGTTTTTAAAGGGTGTTTTTCCCTGTCCTGGTAGCAGTGCTGCTGCCAGTAAAGCACCGTGCTCCCAGGGACGTAGCGTAATCGGGCATTTATTTGCCTGGCTTGGAAGGGATGACCCGTCAGGGTGTATTTTCTGCGTGTGGCTCTCCTCTTCCCATCCGCCGCCTGTAGGAGCTCGGTCACGTTTGCAGTGGGAATTCTCTGGTGGAAGTAAGTGATGTTGTGGCTGCCACTTGTTTTATTTCCTTCCAAAGGTGTTTCTAAAACTTTTCATTTCGCATGATAAGCTTCTTTCTTTCCCGCGTGTGTTGTTCACTAACACAACTGTGGTTGTTCATTAACATTCTAGTTTTTACAAAGAGCGAGGCAGGCTTTTGCAAGTTCGCCAAGCACAGTAATATTTAGCTTTCACACCCCTCTTACAAGAAATAAGCCAGAAAGTGATCCCAAGGTGTGCGTGGACTCTGGTAGTAAAATGAAAAGGCACCACTGGAGAAAAATTAATTCATTTCCACACTGGGTAAGTCTTAATTTAAATCTAAAACACGGAGAAGAAAAACTTACACTTAGCTAGATCGCAGCAGCCGCTGTCATTTTTGTTCAGAGTCAGTGTGCACAGATGGGGAGGTGTATTCCTTTTTTCTTATTAAAACCTTTCCGAGGCCATTCTGGTTTTAAGCGATAAAATTACACGTCAGTAACGTGCTTAATTTTAGAGCAAACTTTCTTGAACTGCAAAAAAAAAAAAAAAAAATTCCTGCTTAGATCAGCTTTAATCTGTTGGACGCTTTTGGGTTACTTGGGTTTAAAGGGGGAGATAAATATGAATAAATGGCTTGCTTACTAGTTATTGGAAAGAGCTTTTGGGGTGCCAGAGGGGCACTCTAGGCACTGGATGGAACCTGATTTGCAGAATACCGAGAAAGCAAATGTAACAGTGGAGCTTAGTTATTTGGGAACATAAGATGGCATTTGAGAAACCTTTAAAAAATAAGTTAAAATGTGTCTTGGGCTTATTTAGATTCAGGAGGATTTGCTGCAGATTTACTGCTTTAGAGCATTAAACGCTAAGCCTCTTGTAATTTTTTTTTTTTTTTTCCCCCCCAAATTCTGTGGGTTCTCTTGATGATTGCCTGTAATCAAGGCTTGGGTGCTTGTTACTTGCCTTCTTCAGTTTAACAGCACGTTTCTCCTGTCTCGAGCAGATTTGCTAGTGCCATAAAGGTATAGATAGCTCTCCTCTGCATTTGTCCGTGCCCCCTGCGCACCGCTGGTGGCTCCGGCTAGGGGAGCAAGCTGCCTTTAACGCTGCATTTACCTTGCTCAAGATGCCCAGCTGTCAGGTCTTCCATCCCTCTGGAAAGCCGAGTAGAAATTGTGACTAAACGCAAGAGCTGTGCGTTCTCCTCCATTTATCAGGTTATCCGTTAATGGACGTGTCAAAACACGCGGCGAGCTGGGTTGATGGTGCAACTGTCCCAGCTGAGCTGACTGAACTTTGCTGGTGCCGGAAAGGGAAATGCTGCTTTGCTCCCGGCCCTGCCACTGGTTGGACCCTGTGCTGAGCCAGATTCGCTCCCTAACCTGACAATAAATCAACAAACAAACCAGGAGATGGAGGCTGCAAAGCGTTCGTGTTTTTTGAAAGCGTTGATTCTTAACATCAGCAGTGACGGTACCATGTAGCTTCACCTTTTGATTAATTCTTCGGGTTTCCGTGATTTGTCTGTACAGCTTCTCCATCTCGCCTGTAAAGATAAAAGGAAAGACTTTCTTAAGATGTTTCTTTGTCAGTGTCTTTAGCTGGTGACAGCGTTTCTGGTATTCTCTTGTTCTCCTTCTCTATCTTAAAAGGCTTGTGCATCTCGGGTCCGTGTCAGCAAACTTCACACGTGTACTCCCTGCTGCAAGACACCCAATCCCCCCCAAAAAACCCATCAGACAACTCAGAGGGGAAAAAGCAAACTCTGAAGTATCCCGCAGGAGATAGCAAGAAGACTTTATATGGACAGGATTTACTGGATCCATTTGTACCTCTTTCCGGAGTGCCTCAGAGTAGATCTCCAAGAGCGAGGTGCAGAGAGGACGGTGCAAGGCCTTGAGCTGAACACGCTGACTGGCTTTGCTTGGAGCATGGTAAATTCACAAAAGGGCTGCACGACAGCAACCCGTAACGGCAAGGTACTGGATGTGACTTGGTTTCTGTTCTTTGGGAGAAAGTCCCCTCAAGAGTTCTAAACAAGGAAAAAAATCCACCTCAGAAAAAAAAAAGACAAACCAAACTGAAATTACTCTGAATTAAAAAAAAAAAAAAAGCAGCACCGGAAAAAAAAATCTCTCCAGCAAAGTTGCTCTGTTTAGAACAGTGTTCAGCCGCAACCAGAAAGCTTTCCCTCCCGCGTTTGAGAGGTGGTCCTTGAAAATATGATTAAAGGTAGGCAGAAATGCCTTACGTAAGGCAGAAATGCCTTATATGGTGTTCCCCAAGAAACAAGTTTTATCCCTTTCAAGGGGAGCCGTTAAACCAGCACTGATAGAAATGCTCCAAGATGAAGAAAAAAGCAGCTACAAGCAATTTTAGCAACGACAACTCGCGTGCAGTCAGTGAACACAGGTATTTTTGAAGATGTACGAAGTCAACACCCAGGGCCAAGGAACAGAACCCCCTTTAGCTTTTGTGTGCCGTGCACGCAAGTAATTTAACTACAGCTGGTAACCTGCATGTGTACACAAGGAACAGATAAGGCTGTGTGTGTTCACCCTTACTTTGGCATTTCCTGATGTAAATGATTAATGGCCTTTTATGATTGCACAGCGTTGTAGCTGTTTATGCTTAGCATTTAGCTAAATGGTTTATTGTCTTCCACATTCTGCTTGCCTGTAAAGGGGCTTTATGTTTTCTCTAAGAAAGGTATATAAAGCAAGATTAAAAGGGCTGTGGTGCATATTTTAAATGAAGTTAACACGGCGCTTACGCTGTCTGCAGGCAGATTTCGCAGATTTACAACACAGTCCTGCTAGCAAAGGTGCTCGGACCGTCTACGCTAGCAGCAGAGAAACAAAATACTTTTCCCTTTTGAAACTTCCACTTTGAGCACAAGAGAGTAGGGCCAGAGGAGAGAGGAAGAGGAGGGGTTTTCGCTCATTGCCTCGCCTCCAGAAGCAAGTTGAGGCCGGCTTCTGACACTGATGGTTAAAAGCGGCAGCGTCAAAAATAGCGATCTCTGGATCAAAACAGCAGCGCTGCTGTCTGGCTCAAATTCAAGGAGGTCCACAGGCATTCTTGTACTATTTTACTTGTCCCAAGTCTTGCCGATGACAATGATCAGCACGTGTTATTGAGGAAAAGATCTAGGAATAAAGATGACAACCCTCAAGACGGGGGATATACTGAGTCCATGGGGTGATGGATCTTCAGAAGGGTTTTTAGGTTTGGGGGTTCCCTCTCCCATGTGCAGCTTGAGGATTGGCAAATCTTTGACTGTTTACAGACACGCTCCGACTACTCCTTCAGAGCACCCTGCCACCCTCCCTGCTGATGGCAATCAGGATTATTCGTTACCCTAAACCAAGCGTAAAGGCAAACCTCTTGCGCCCTCGGTTTTTTATAGCTGGGAAACTACAGGAGGCAGCACTCTTCCGAAAAGCCCATGGGCCTTTGCCCTTCCCGAGTTACACACCCACCTGTGTTCTCCAGAAAGGGGAACGCAAACCAAAACTCCCGACTAAGGGTCCTTTATCCAGGCCACCAGCCCTTAGACAACTACTACTGCAAGTAAAAAGCTCTGCAGTTCTCCTACTTACAACCACCTGAAACTAAAAACCCAATGGAACTGTCTAAAGTGCTTTTTAAAGGCAAAAAAAATATTCGTGGGCTGAGGCAGCTCTGCAAGTTGCAGGAGAGAGAGGAATGTTGAGCCTCGCGTTCCTGGGGAGGGAGGTTTTGTTGTCTGCTTTTGGGGCAGGCAGGGAGAAGGAAGGTCTCCAAAAAAGTAAGGGAATTGCCTTCTGCTTAGCAATACTCATGGCTACAGACAGAAGGGATGTGTAGCCTTTACCTTACAGGGTCCCAGTATTGAAAAGGGAGGTTTCCCTGTCTAAAAAAAAAAAAAAAGGCTTTGGTTTTCTTCTTAAGACATTCTGACAGCTCTAGAAACCTGCTTCGCTGACAGACGATTTTGAAAAGGAGGTTTTTATGGGCTGCTAAGCCAAGTTTTGTGAATGCTAAGATATATGCCTTTTGGGTAAATTTGAAACCCGGAAAGCCTCTTTTGTTTTCATTTCTGCCAGTGTCCTCTACCAGCTAAACCAACCCTTTTTAGCCAGTTTCTTCTTTGAGTGAGGGACCTGAGCCTCACATTGGGAGCAGTGGTGCAAAGTGACCCCCTCTTCTTTTTGTCCTCTCTGCTTTGGTGTCAGGGTCCATCCAACATAGTTTTTCAGTTCATCAGATTTCCCAAGTTACCAAGATAACTACAAAAAACATCCGCTTTTGGTCAAGCTGCTAATAATAGTCAGGGTTTGTAGACTGTGTTCAAGTTTGCTGTTTACCCTTTAGGGCAGCCGAACGAATTGATTGCATAGTTTTCCCCTCACTTTTCAGGAATGCTTCCATCTGACTGAACATCTTTGTGCCTTCTAATCACAAATTAGTTTTGCTTTTTTTTCTTCCTAAGAAATCAATCTCAAGGCACTCCCAGAAGGGTCTGGCTTGGCTTTAAGCATATATAAAGAGAATCGTGTTGAGGAAGACTTCCTTCTGTAGATTTTTAGCTGGGTTTTTTCCATGCAATACTTGCAGAAATATTGAGAAGGGGGAAAGCAGAAGACAAACTTTGTGTGCTTTGCTGAATATTACCATCCTGTTTTGTAAACAGCGGAGTGGAAAGGTCCTGCGCGTTTTTCAGTTTCCAGCTCTGTGGCCTGCAGCTATTCCCGCTCCTGGTGCTTAACGCTAAGATTTCATGGCCTAAAAAGGTATTTGTGAGCTTCCGATGGCAAGGTCCCACTCAAGCACTCCAGATACATTTGCCTCTTCCACGTAAGCTAGGGAATTTGCTCTTGGGGGGGTGGAGGTGAATGCACACCCGCGGCTTGTCTGCTGTACGTACTTGTGTGAAGTCAATAAGCTTCCCGATGGCACGAGGGGTGCGTATCTCCTTCAAATAAATGGCTTTTATCTTGAGGCAGCCTTGACACATGGAGAATAT